TGTAGAGCTCTACAGCTCTACAGCGCTCCACAGCGCTCTACATCTCTACAGCTCTACAGCGCTCTACACTCTACACCCTCTACACCCTCCCTCAGCTCCGCTCCCAAGGTGACTGGTGACGCCTACGACTACTACCAGCGCGCTCGCAATCCGAGCAAAGTCTAGGATTGCGAGCAGCACTGCTCACAATCCGAGCATCATGCCTCCGATTGCGAGCAGTAGCGCTCGCAATCCTAGAACGTTCGCCGATTGCGAGCGGACACCGCCCACAGTCCTACAATGTGTACGACTTCTAGGATTGCGAGCGGGTCCCCTCGCAATCGGTGCGATCACTGTTTGGATTGTGAGGAGACCCTCCCGGCGCGCTCACTCACAAGCGCTCGCGGCTGGAGCGATTGGGAGTGCCCTCTGTGCGCGTTACTAAGCAATCCTTGAATCTTGGGTACGATTGTGAGCGCCGCCGCTCATAGTCCTACAAGATGTAGGATTGCGAGCGCTACTGCTTGCAATCGGAGGCATGATGCTCGGATTGTGAGCAGTGCTGCTCGCAATCCCAGACTTTGCTCGGATTGCGAGCGCGCTGGTAGTAGTCGTAGGCGTCACCAGTCACCTTGGGAGCGGAGCTGCTCTTAGTCCTAGAAGATGTAGGATTGCGAGCGTGGATGCTCACAATCGCACAGAGATGCTACGATTGCGAGGAGTGCTGCTCACAATCCTTCGACTTCTAGGATTGAGAGCGAGGCTGCTCTCAATCCTAGCGGTGTACAAAAAAAAGAAGGTTGACCGTCTGTGTGTGAGCTTTCCTATCAACAAGCCTCTAATGCTTCGTTGTCCATCGTCCGCTGCTGTACAACTCTGGCCGTCTCTTCCTTCGCAAGGGCCCCGCCCCCCAGAGCTGGGGGCGGGGCCCGCGGGGAGGCGTGAAAAATTCTTTTGCACCTGCCTCGAACGACGAGCCGGCCGCCCCCACCAGCTTAGTCACCACTGCCACATCGGGTCGAGAGCTGAGTTGGAATGTCTGATGACAGTCAGCCAACCGTCTCGGAGCGGATTCTGGGCGGGGGCGGCGCTGCCTCTATAGCGGTGGCGTGCACCAACCCGTTTGATGTGGTCAAGGTCCGCCTCCAGCTCGAGCGGCAGCGTGGCGGATCGTCGGGCGCGCTGCCCGTGCTTCGCAACATCGTCGCGGCTGAGGGCCCGGGAAGCCTCACCAAGGGGACCGGGTTCGCCATGCTGCGGGGCCTCACATACGGCGGCCTCAGACTGGGGATGTACGAGCCAGTCAAGGCGCGGCTGGCGGCGACCAGCGGCGGCGGCAGTGGCGGTGGCGGCTTTGGAGTCAAGTTAGCCGCGGGAATCAGCTCCGGCGCCGCGGCCGCTGCCATCACCAACCCGCTCGAGCTCCTCAAGGCGACGCACGCGCCTGCCAGACGCTTCCAAGACACCGCTCACTCGCGAGCCGAGCGCGGCAACGGGACGAGTCACTCCCCATCCCCGCGCTCAGGTGCGCCTTCAGGCGTCGAGCGGCGCAGGGGGCGCGGCGTCGCTCTTGCAGGGTGTGCGCCGCGACGGCGTGCGGAGCCTCTGGACGGGCACTGCGCCCTCCATGCAGCGCTCGGCGGTGCTGACCGCCTCGCAGCTCGCCACCTACGACCAGATCAAGCAGCTGCTCGCGAGGCACACGGGCGCCTCGCCCGCCGCGCTTCCGACGATGCTGACCGCCTCGATGCTCGCTGGGCTCGTCACCACCACGACAACCTCGCCCTTTGACGTCGTCAAGACACGCGCGATGGCCGCGGCGAGCGGAGGCCAGGCCGGCGGCGTGCTGCAGGGAGGCACTTCCGCCGCGATGGCGGCCATCGTCCGGTCGGAAGGGTTCGCCGGCTTGCTCCGTGGCTGGCTTCCAAACTACCTCAGGCAGGGACCGCAGACGCTGCTCTTACTCATCCTCAACGACAGGCTGACGTCAGGGCTGACAGAGCGCAGGCGCGCCGCACTGTGAGCTCTATCTGGCATTCCACAGACATGCACACGCACATGTACATGTGCGTGTGCATGTGCATGTGCATGTATGCATGCACATGCACATGCACATGTGTGGCGGGGCGGGGATTTGGCTCGCGAGGGTTTGCCGTGGCGGCCGGTACGTTGAGATTGTATTGTACGTCAGTATGCGAATGCGTGGTGATGGTTTGGTGTCTCGTCACGCGATAAAGCCGCAACACACACCCCGCGAACCGCGATGCACACACCCGACACGCCACACTCTGATCTCGGCTCTCTCTCTCTCTCTCTCTCTCTCTCTCTCTCTCTCTCTCTCTCTCTCTCTCTCTCTCTCTCTCTCTCTCTCTCTCTCTCTCTCTCTCTCTCTCTCTCTCTCTCTCTCTCTCCTCTCTCTCTCTCGTCTCTCCGCGCTCTCTCTGTCGCTCTCTCTCTCTCTTCTCCCTCTTGTGGCTGCGGTTGCATGCAGTGGGAGAGAGAGAGAGACAGAGAGAGAGAGAGAGAGAGGCGCTGCATGCGTGCGTGCTCGGCACGCTCTGAAGCCTTGTCTGTTGAACGCGCAACAAGCCCAACAGCAACACACGCCTCACCTCTAGCTCTACCCTCCACGTGGGAAACCCCACACACGATACACTCTGTCTTCGGTATAATGTGGCGCTTCCACGCGGGAGAAGCTACTCAGTCGTGATAGGAGCATACCATCGCCCATCTTATCTCGCTCCAGTCAGGCCGGCAGGCAGCTCATGCTCGTCAGTACCTACCTCTTCGATGCCTGTCGGCTCTCCAATCTCGTCGCCGGCGGCAGACCCGCATGGCGCGCTGCTCGATGGCAGCCTGCTCAGTACGCCTTGGACAGTGACTTCTGCCTCGCTGCTCTTCCTGCAGCCGCCTCCGGGGCCGGCGCCAGCCGCCTCGCTTCGCCAGTGCTGTCTACGCCGGCGACACGCGTGTCGGCTCGCCGCCCGCGTCGCCCGCGGCGGGCCCGCATGGCGCGCCGCTCGTCGGGAGCGTTCCCAGCAGGCTGTGCAGGGCAGTCTGCCTCACTCAGGGCGCCGCCGCGGCGCTGCTGCCGTGAACACTGCCGCCGTGTACGTCACCATCGCCTCTCTTCATCGCCGATCTCGCCGACGCCGCTCGCCGCTCGCCGCCGCCCTGCCCTGCCCCGCCTAGCCCTCGCACAAACAAACCAACACGCACACACACACACATACAGACACACATACAGACACACATACACATACAGACACACAAAACACACCTTGCCGCAACGAGCGCCCCGCGCCCTCCCGCCCAACGCCCTGCGCCTCACGCCTCGCGTCCCACGCACGCCCCGCGCCCCGCGCCCCTCTTCTCGCGCCTCACGCCTCCCCCCCCACCCTCTCACCCATTTCTCCCCCCCTGCTGCTCGCCGACTCCTCCTCCCCCCGCATGACCGACGACTACCCGTCCTTCGGCGACTCCTCCCTCTTCGGCGCCAACGTCTACTACCCGTTCGGCCCGGTGAGGGGCGGGAGAGCAGCCATGGCACCGGGCACCGCCTCGGTATACAAAATGCGCCTGCGGGCGGACCCTCACAGATCACAGATCACAGTCTACACCGCGCGCGCGCGCGCTGCGCGCGGCTCGTTGTGCGAGTATATGGGACACGATGTCTCAAATATGAGAGGTTTTGACTCCTACCGGCTCCTGACGCTATCCCTGGCAGCTCTAATGACCAGGATCAGTAGTGCTATGATAGAGGGTGCCCATACTAGCGCAGGAGCTGCCACACTCGCCCGGACCGGCTCCCTCTGGGGCCGGTTCCGCAGCCCGTGAGAGCCGACAGCGGGGCCGTGCCGCGGGTGCCTACTGCTGAGTGCCACAAACACTGCGCCGTCCCGCCATCACCTACAGGCTGTCTTGTGTGATGGTTGGGATGTCCAAACGCCACCATCTTGGCTCTTGCGACCTCAAACCCGCGAGCTGTATGGGTGGTCCTGACGTCGACAGACGCCCGATGACCACGGTGAAGCTGAGCCGTAACGAGTCGACAAGTCTCGTCTGAGCCCGTGGCGGTCGCCGGCTGAGTCGCTGTGCACGGGCCGGTACCTCAGGCGTCACCTCCGCAGCCTCAGGTCTCACACTCCATCACCTCCGCCGGGACGCTTTCGGTGGCACGCTCGGCGGCGAGTTTGTTGCAGCTCCACAGCAAGCGCGGCGTCGAGCCTACTTACTCCAGTTGGTTCGGCACACTCGGTGGGGTCCACTGAGTGTGCCGAACGCGCGAGCGGTGCGTCCTGGCAGCCCGCGCTGGCTGCGGAGCTGCAACAAACTCGAGACCCGCTTTTTGGGACATTTTCGACGCTTTTGTCCCATATACTCGCACAACATGCCGCGCGCGCGGCGCGCGGCGCCGTCCTCTAGGTCTAGCTCTACGCTCTTCGATGTCTTGGTGACGACACATAAAGAGCGCGCTGCGCGGCGCTGCGCACACTTACGTAGAGTAAGACGGATGCACACACACACACACACACTCACACACACACGTCGCGAACACAGTCTTTTAGATGTGTGGCTGGGGTCCCCGCGCTTCTATCAGCAGGAGCATGCCAACCTGCTTGCGCGGTCCGGGACTCGAGGGAGCGACACGACACCTCGGATGGGAATGCAACAGTGCACAGCTAGGCACTATTTTTCGCTGGCACCAGCACATTTGGGGGAGGGGGGCAGGGGGCGGCAGGCAGAGAAATGGCCATGGCATCAGATGGCAGACGCAGCATGGGGGGGGGGGGAGGGGGGGCATCCCGGAGGGGCAGCCCGCGAGGAAGGGGCCCCGGGGGGGGCCCGG